CCCCCCCCCCCCCCCCCCCCCCCAAAAATATTTTCTTAGAAACATCAGAAAGTTAAGTCTGGTCTTCCCTGATTTTACTATGGGGTTTATTGGAAGCAGTTTGGGAGGCTTTTTCAGCTTTCAACCAAGACCTCCTTTAGGAAAAGTAATCAAGCATTTGGGATAAATGTGTATTGAAAGGTCTGAAAAAAAAATAACTTTCTTACTTTGTTATTCTGTGCATTTAAGAAGGAAAAAGGCTGCATGCCTGACTCTTAGAAATTATAGATTCTAGGAAATACCATGATTTTTGAAGTCTTTTGAGCACTGAATATTTGAGGCTAAATGTTACCTACAGGATGGGAGAAGTTACAAAATGTAGACTGTATCTTTACCATGAGGGGTTGGGGGGCACATTAACTGTAAGCATTCACATAACCCACCTAGCATCTGATCATTAGAGCGCAACCCAAAGTTTGGTGAATAATAATGGACAAAAGCAGATGGTTACTTTCAGAGCTGTTTGAATTACAGTGGCTTTTAAAAATAAATATTTATTTGGATTAAATCTATTATCACATGTAGCTTTTAAAATGTGAAAGAAATGTATGGTGCACCTGTTGTATCTGGTATCTCCATGACCTTTATGTTGGAAATTTTATCAAATCAAGGTGAACATTTCTATTTGATAACATTTTGTTTCCTGGCAGAGAATTATTCTCACTCTGCTTATCCAGACTTATCCCTCAGCACTTGGCATTCTTGGCTGCCTTTTTAGAGATTTCATAGCAATTTTGTAGTTAGTGAAATCTTACTGAATTAATTCTTAAGTTGGGGCTTCTTGCACTTACTGTATCATGAACAGTGTTTTCTGATTTCGGTCTTCCTGAGCACCTGCCCTTGTGTTCACAATGGGGTAACCATCTTAGGGCAGCTACAAGAAATTGCAAGCTAGAAAAAAATTTGGGAATGAATTTAATCCTCGAGTGTAGTTAGCTTTGGCAGCAGAAAAAAATCTAAAAAAGATGCATCTTTGAGGATAAACACCAGACACTAGTTTAAAAAGAGGAAATTGGCATTACATACCTGGTAGTGTATTATGTCCCTGGACACATAACAGTAAAATATAACATCTGATCTCATTTGCTGTCGCTCATGTAGACTTGATTTTTGGTATTCTTTCTTTTTTGTATAAACATAGAACTTGTGAATTTAAAAAAAAAAGGATTGGGGTGGGGAGAACTTAGCGTAAAGAAAAAACAAGGATCTTCTCAGCGGGGTTGTTTCGAATACTGCCATCTCTATATTAAAAAGGAAAAAGGTATGGGGTTTTTGTTTTTCCTCCACTGAATGTATTTTAATGACTCTGCCACTTTACCAAAAGGCAGATATACTATGACTTTTTCCAGTAAAACCATTGTTTCAGAAGTATTCAGTATTTGTATTTTTAATAAAACTATTTGAAGTTGTTTTCTGGTTTACAAACCCATTCCAAGCTTGCAAAAAATTATTGTTTTGCCTATGTAAGTCTTACAACTAAGAAACATATGTTATCAACTTTTATTATTGAAACCTTCTGGGGGGCTCAGTGCCATCTTGGAGTCTAAGAATCATTTTGCTGTGCATTCGTGCATTAGTTTGCTCATTGTTAAGAGGTCTATATTGGTGATTCTGATAGCAGTACTCTTTTTTTAAAAAAAAAAAAGAAGAAGAAATTGTCAAGTCCTGTCATTCAATAAACATGATACAGGATTATTCAACTTTTAGATCTAAATATTGCCCTCATTTGCTGAGTTAACTTCATGAGCAGAAGTTTTGAGGCAGCAGTTGTTTGCATAGACCACAATAAAAAAGAGCACTTACCTAACACATGCACCTTTTCCCCAAAAATTAGCCAACCAAAATTGGGATGCACGTGTTAAGCAGGAAGCTGGTTTCTTCATCAGAATGCAAATATGGACGTGGTATAACGTCTGCTTGTGGCTCTGCTTCTCTCCCAGTTTTGCAATGGCTATGAGAGGATTAAAAATCTAGCATTTCTGTGAAGGAGCCAGAGAGCTAGCCAAAGACAAGTCCATGCAGTCAATTTTTGGACTTGACTCTTGGAAAAATCTTTTTCTCTTCGTTCTGCCTCCCCAAAACAAAGTGTGTATTTTATTTGGGGTGCATGGTATATGAGAATATGCAGTATATTGATTATAGAATGGAAAGAATTGTAATAGTTTCTTCTTTTGAAATCTGCCACTTTCTATCAGAAATCACTTGTACAGTAAGTAAAAAGAAAATATCTAAGTTTTTTTTTTTTATTACTTATTTGAAGCAAACCCTATTTCAAAGAGTGTCTTTCTCTTCATAAAAAAATGCTCCGTCTAGAGGGTAAGGTGATGGTTAATCACTAATCTCAGTTTTTAGTATGTGCATTAAGATAATTCAAAGGAAAGAAAACAATGTCAGATTAGTTATTCATAAATTTTCACTTGGATTACTTGTGAGTTGCAATGGAAAAGATCAGAGGATATTCCTGTTGGAAAGTAACCATTCTGAATCTGAGCAGAGAAAGAGAGCAAGCAGTGTAATGCAGGTAATTATATTTCCAATATTTGTTGTTAAAAGCGGTGTTGACGTAAAAAGTGGCCCTAGTGAGCCTTTTCATTTTCACTTGTGCTAGAATATTTCTTTCACTTCAGTAAATGTATCTTTGTTTACTCTACTTATGCAATTCAAAACACTCAGAAAAAATTGATTATCTCTGCTCTCTGAATATAGAAAACAATAGCAGACTAATAATTTCTGTATTCACTGTGAGGTGTAGTAGTGAACATGCTGTGTTTCTCAGTTTGAAATCTGAAGCTATGCTTACACACATGCATACATTTATATTATGTACAAGTAACATAATATAATTGCATATATTATATGTATTTTAAATTATAAATGTTGTGGCTGGCTTTATCATATACCTAACATTCTCCTGGGAAAGTAGAGATAAATTAAAATGATGTGAAATCCAAGGCCACTTTAAAAGTAAGTTTTCCAGTTGAATGAAAAAATTACTGAAATTCAGTCTGAACTTTCAGTCACTCACTGTTGCTAGATAAATATTTATCTTGGTAGGTAAACAGAATTTATTTGCCTCATCTTTTTGATGCTATAACAACTTTGATGCATGTCCAATTCAGTGGAAAAGAGATTGGTGGTGGTCTTTGTTTCACACTATGAGAAGTTTAGTACTGATAGTATAGGAGGGGTTTTTAATGTATTAGTGGATTAACACTTTGCTCTTCACTCTTTCTTTCCCAGCAAGGAAGACTTTGTTAAAGTGGTAGGTCTTCTATTTTGAAGTTGTTTGTAAATTGATATACTAACAGTATCTCTTGATTTCTGCTTTTTTTTTATAGGTTAATCTTAAGAGACCATGTCCTTTCTGGGCTGATGATGGCCACTGTTCTATTAAAGATTGTCATGTAGAACCTTGTCCTGAGGTATGCATCAAAACAACAAAAGAAGGAAATGTGCTTCCTAAATATGACTTGAATTATTACTTTCAGGACATGGTGTACTTATGTGCTGTAGCAGATTTGAAAACCAATAAAATACGAAATGTTAGTTTCACTACTGTGACCCTGCACGTCCTCACCATTGTTAATTTTCACTCCTCCGTTTTGGCTATATTCCACAACCTTATTAGGAATGAGTGAAATTAGCTATATGGAAAGTACTATCAAACTTGCAAATACAATCAGATTATGCAAATACCCAAAAAATAGACATTTCCTCAATTTATTTATAAGCCCGTGGTTTAATTTTTAACAGTAACTGGGATTTTTTCCATAGAAAAGTACACATTGGCTAAGTGTACGTGTGGCAAGGGGAGGGTTTGGTTTGGTTTGGTTTGTTTATGATTACTTTTAAAAATGTCTAAGAGTGCAACACCTATTGCTTAAGGTGTCTCCTTTTTTCTTACCCTTTTCCAGTAGGTGATAGTTGTGGAATTTTGCTAAGGCATTTTCAAGTTTATTTTTATACTTTCTCCATGAAAAGTATGTTAATTAGCATGTTGACATTTATCAGCATCCTACTGGATTCTGAGTACTAGGTTATTACTTTATACTTTCTGTCCATACACATTGTCAAGTGCTTTTACATGGATAGGTAAATATGCCTATCTCCACTTCATGCTTACAGAAACTGAAGCACAAATAGTTTGTCTTGTTTGCAGAACCAGGAATTAGACCCATTCCTAACTTCTATCTAGGAGGATATGCTGTTTTCTGTGCTGCTTGCAAACTATTTTCTACATGTAATGGAGGACAATGGAACATGAATATTTATATCTAGCGTGTATGATTTTTTTTTTTTTTTAAAATATGCTCTGTAGTTTATCTACAATACTACTGTTTATGATGAGGATGTTGTATGTTAAAATGCAGATTTAATCAGAAAAGGGGAATGGGCAGTTCACTGTGTGGTGTGACCAAGTTAAAGCTGCTTTTGGAAGATTTTAACTTGCATTTTTTTCTAATGTAGGTTGTCTGATATTTTGTTGTATTTTTTTTCTTTAATGCTTAACTCTGGTTAAGCTCTGAAACAGATGGAGGGATACAGTTCCATCACTTTTTTTTCTTTCACTACAGAATCTTGCACATATCTTCCAGTGAAATCTGTGAGAGTTGGGTGTTTGTAAACTTGGTTTTTTTCTGAAAGACTTCTTTGAGAAGCTATATTAATGATGCTAGTAGCATAGTTCTTTATACTTAAGATTATATCTGTATAAGAAATGAACGTTGTTATGCCTTCCATCTGATTTTTATGTTTCTGAAAATCAGGTGATTCTATCTTTCCTATAGCTAGCTAACATAATTATGTGCATGTGCATCCTTATTAGTTATGACAAGGGTCTGGGTTAGGATTTAACTGGCAGCTTAATATAGCTGTTAAAAGGAACTTCCAACCTTCCTTAAAATCTGGCTAATTGCTCTTACGGTTGGATGTTTAGGGTACATGGTAGTGATGTAGCCCTCTTCATTCACCGATGACAAAATATTTTACAAAGATTGAAGTTTCATAATTTCCTTGGTAGTCAACCTAATAGTAATTGGCCCTTTCACACTATTATCCAAATAAGTGCTAAGAGTGGGGATACAGTGTGTATGTATGCATATTCAGTGCAATCCAGGAAGAACTGAAGTCAAAGTTCATGTTTTTATCAGAGTAGTTCTCAAGTTTCAACAATAGATTTGCCAAATTTAATTTCTGGGGCATTTTCATGGAATCATAGAAAAATTAGGGTTGGAAGGGACCTTGGGAGGTCATTTAGCCCAACCCCCTGCTCAAAGCAGGACTACCTTCAACTAGATCATTCCAGCCAAGGCTTTGTCTAGCCGGGTCTTAAAAACCTCCAAGGATGCAGACTCCACAGCATCTCTGGATAATCCATTCTAGTGCATCACTACCCTCCTCATGAGAAAGTTTAGGTTGGATATTAGGAAAAATTTCCCCTGCTGCACCTCGAGACCATTGCTTCTTGTTCTGTCACCTACCACTGCTGAGAACACTCTAGCTGTATCCTTTTTTGAACCCCCCTTCAGGTAGTTGAAGTCTGCTATTAATTCACCCCTCAGTCTGGTCTTCTCCAGGCTAAATAAGCCCAGTTTCTTCAGCCTTCCATAAGTCATGGACCCTGCCCCCCCACTTTATCATTTTCATTGCCCTCTGACTCTCCAACTTATCCACATCCTTTTTATAATGGGAGGCCCAAAACTGGGCACAGTACTCCAGATGCTGCCCTGCCAGTGTCCAATGGAGGGGAATAATCATTTGCTTCAGCCTGATGGCAGCGCTCCTACTAATGCAGCCCAGTATGGCTGTTAGCTGCCTTCACAACAAGGACACACTATTGGCTCGTATTCAGCTTGTTCAGCATAACCCCCAGGTCCTTTTCTGCAGAGCTGCTGCTTAGCCAATCGGTTCTTAGGCTGTAGTGGCATATGGGATTGCTCCAAACTAAGTACAGGACTTTGCTTATGTCCTTATTGAACTTCATGAGATTTCTTTTGGTCCAATCCTCTGATTTTTGTCTAGGTCTCCCTGAATCCTAGCCCTACCCTCCAATATATCTGTTACTGTTCCAGCTTGGTGTAATCTGCAAACTTGCTAAGGGGGCACTACATCCCCTCTTACAGGTCGTTGATGAAGATATTGAACAAAACAGGCCGCAGGATCAGCCCTTGGGTCACTCTATTTGATACCAGCTGCCATCTAGACATCAAGTTATTGATTATTGATGATCCAGGCAGTTTTCTGTCCACCTTACAGTCAGTTAATTTAACCCGTACTTTCTTAGTTTGCTTGCAAGAACATTGGGGGAGATCAGATAAAAAGCCTTGCTAAAGTCTTGCTATCGTGTCCACTGTTCTCCACAGAAGTAGTAATCTCATTGTAGAAGGCAACCAGGTTAGTCAGGCATGATTTGCTCTTGCTTATTCCATGCTGACTGTTACTCACCTTCTCTCCCAAGTGCTTAGAAATGGATTCCTTGAGGACATGCTTCATGATTTTTTCCAGGGACTGAGGGTGAGGCATATCTGTCTGTAGTTCCCTGGATCCTCCTTCTGTATCTGAAAGATGGGCACTGTTTGCCCTTTTTCAATTGTCCAGGACCTCCCGCAATCGCCACAAGTCTTCAAAGATAATGGCAAGCAGCTCTGCAGTTGCATCTGCCAACTCCCTCTGTACCCTCAGGTGCATACCATCCAATTCCATGGACTTGAACATGTCCAGCTTTTCTAAATAGCCCCTAACCTGTTTTTTAACCACTGTTGGGTGCTTACCTCCTCCCCAAACCATGCTGTCTGGTGCAGTAGTTTGGGAGCTGACTTGCCTGTAAAGACAAAAGGCATCAACTTCAGCCTTTTTCTCCTCATCTGTCACTAGGTTTACTCCCCCATTCAGTAAGGGACCCACACTTTCCCTGATCTTCCTCTTGTTACTGACATACTTGTAGAAACCCTTTATGTTAACCTTCATGTTCCTTGCTAGCTGCAACACCAGTTGTGCTTTGACCTTTCTGACTTTTATCCCTGCATGCCTGAACAGTGGTCTTGTACTCCTCCCTAGTTGTTTGTCCAAGTTTCCACTTGTAAGCTTTCTTTTTGTGTATTTAGCTCACTGAAGAGTTCCCTGCTAAGCCAAGCTGGTCTTCTGTCATGCTGGCTACTCTTCCTGTGCATCAGGATGGCTCATCCCTGCGCTTGCCATGAGGTTTCTTTTTAAAGTGCAGCCAGCTCTCCTGTACTGCTTTCCCCTTCACACTGGCTTCCCAGGAGATCCTGCCTATCAGTTCTGTGAATGAGTTGAAGTCTGCTTTTCTGAAGTCCTAAGTCTGTACTCCCCTCCTTCCTTCCTTTCCTCAGGATTCAGTATTTCAGCCTTAGCCTCTCATCAACCACAACCTGCCTCTGTCACCCCCACCTCCGTCTCAGTCCTCACTCTGGGCTCAGGCCCTACCCCTTGGTCTCAGCCTGTTTCTTTCTCATGCCCCTGTCCCTAGCAAGGCTCAAAACATGGCGTGTCCCTCAGACACCCCGGTGGCCTCCTTTCCATCTCTACAGTAGCCACCTGATCCTCTGGTATAAGTTAACAGCAATGCAAACAACACAAGCAACTGCTTTAAACTCAAACTCTCAAAGCCCTCTCTGGGTCACCATGCCATTGCAGAAATCTCCTTCCCACTCTCTGGCTCTTTTAACCCTGAAGTGGCCTGCAGGTCACATTCCTTGCCAGCCTCAGCTGGCAAGAACTCTTTCTTTTAAAGAGTTCAGGGCTAGTGGCCCCTCTGCCTCAGAAATCCAGGTTTGTGTCTCCTGGGCTCCTCCCCTTCCTGACCTGCAACAGATGTCCCCCCTTCACCTCCAGAGCAGCTTACTGCTGTTTCTCTGGCCAAGCTGCAGTAGTACCCATACTGCTTAACCAGTGCTCTTCCCTATTTTCTATTGCTAGGCAGCTAGCCCCACAATAGGGACGTGCAGCCTATGGGTCCCTACCTTCCCAGTCCCTTGCAGCTAGCCCAGAATCAGCTGTTCTCCCCTACCTGGGGGCATATGTGCTGTGCCTTCTCCCTTTAAAGTAATGGAGCCTCTGGCTCCCTGTTATAGAACCTAATGAAGTTCACCCATATAATTTAATAAAAGTGTGTATGTTCACATAGTTCTAGTTTCAAGTGTAATAGTTACTAAATAGTTTGTTCTTAGACTGGATTAAAAGCAACTGGCATTAAAACTTACCCCGATCGAAAGCTGTGGTCAATAATACTATGTGAACACTCTTAAATATTGTGTTAGGTGTTACTGCTTCACTGGGCAAACTGACTTGCAGTGTAGATGGGTCAGTTCTTCTTACCTTGGGTTGGAATATCCTATTGAAAACCAGAAGTCAGTGTAACAAGGTAACTAAAGAATTAACTTGTAGGAAACAGTTTTTACCTTGAGTAGGTTAGGTATGAGTATTAAAGCAACATCTGAAACTTGCAGAGACTACATTCTGGCATAACCATTTCTGTGAACTGTGTACAAAATAGTAATTTGTCTTTGGTGTTTGTGTGTTTTATTTTTAGAGTAAAGTCCCAATTGGAATTAAAGCTGGGAGCGCTAATAAAGTAAGTAGTCATTTTATTTTTAAAGCAACTTTTCCAATAAAACGTATCCTAAAAGTTAGGGGTTAAATGTAGTTAAATATATTGTACGTTTTCAACCCTGGCTTAGAGATAAACTTAACATAATGTTCTGTAATCTGTGTCGTTTGTGACTAGCTTTTACTTATACCAAGTACCTTTTTGGTATTAAGAATAAAGACTGTCTAATACATATTATATACATTGAGCCAAGAATACATATTATGTAATTGACCCCCAGAAGGCAATCTAACACAATATGTTGGCTTTATTGAGATGCTGCTTCCAGTTAGGAATATAGTAGTTTAGTGCATTATACCAGTCACAAGTAAGATAGAAGGGTAGGATCTGTTAAATACTGCAGAACAAGCTATGCATAGAGCAACTCTGTATCATTTTTCTGTTTGCTGTCTATTGTGAGCCTGTTCGTTGGCTCCTAGTTATGCAGTATGCTGGGTATTCTAGAACATGTGGGCTTGCGTGACTACACACGGCTGGGGTGATGTGTATGCTTAAAGCATCCAAATAGAGCAGAATTTCAGATGAGGGAGCCATCTTGAGTACAGAGCAAACAGATTTTTTAGAGTGCAGGGTCTTTCCCTGATTTACATGAAGGTTGATTTCAAGAGAGGTTTCCCAACACTGAATTCTGATTATTTTTTTTTTAAGTGTGTCTATTTTTAGCTTGATATGAGGCCTTGCTATCTTTTGTGACCTATTTACAGCCTCTTGTATTGCTGCTAAATGTTTTTAAAACTTTTTAGAGGCACTTAACAGTTTCTAAGGGCTTTATAGATGCCACAGAACATCTCATTATCCTAAACCAGGTTTCCATTTTTAAACTAAATTGACAATGACAAGAGGCTACAGAATACTAAATGCTCCATTACATATACTTGACAGATAACAGAGACTTTCTTTCCCTTATAAACTAGGGGAAATCTATGGGATTTGTAGAGCTTCCTTTTGACAAGAGTAGTAGAATCTCTTATTGGTTCCATAATGACTTCATAAATTTACTTGTAGAATTCAAATGTGATAAACAGTAATAAATGCATGTTTTTATATGCTGCATTCAGTCCTTTGAATTAAAAAGTCATCCCAAATGTACAGTATGTTAGTTTAAGCATTTAGCTAATTATTTGGGTTGGTTCCTGAGTGCATTCTCTGTTCCTGCTTGCCTCTAAGCTAAAAACTTCTTCCTAAAACCAAGAGTTTGTTCTCAAATCGTCTGTGAAGCCTTATAATTAAAGTAACCTCCTGGTTACTAAATAAGAGAGGCTATGGGCCCCTCTACACATGACATTTTATGCCACAATTAATGGGTTTAATTGCAGCATATGTGGCAAGGATGCTACACATGTACCCAGTTCAAGGCACCATAAAATGGCAAACCAAGCATAAACAATATTCCATGTGCAATAAAGAATTTTTTTTATGGCAGGTTTGTATAGCATCTTAAAATGAACTTGTGGCATGTCCACAGACTGGGTCTGTGGCTGGATGTCTGACAATCAGCTGATTCTTGAACATCAGCCCTGGACCTCTCCAGGTATCCAACCAGCAGTGCTGACAAGCTTGGCAGCACTAGCCTGCGGCAGCTCTGGATCTCCATCCTGCCCTGAACTGTCCAACCGACTGATTGTTGGTCTTGGCTTGCAGGGCAGTCCCAGTTCTCCAACTGGATCCAGAGCTGCCCTGCTGGGGCCACAGGTTTGGGCACACTAGCCTGCCAGAGCTTTGGGCACAGTATTTAAATTTCCTTGGTTGGGGGGAGGGAAGCCCTTGCACAGTTCTAGGCCTCACAGTTAGCTAATTATCAGTTCTGGAACAGCTCAGTGTCTTGAGCTGGCCCCTTGGCTGTCCAGTGTTGACCCTAGCCCTGGGACAGCTGCTAGTGATGCAGGGCTGCAGGCAGTTGCTGGTGCAGAAGAGTCCCCCTGCATTGGCAAAAAGACAAGGTGTAATTGGGATCTGATTCCAAATTCATGCCTACTGCCATGTACATGTGGCATGGCAGGAGAAGTGATTTTTTTGGGATTGGGGATCAGATCCTGTGGTGCCTCTTAAGTTAATGTGTACTAGGGACCCAAGAAACCTATATTTGTATATTTTAACTGCTTTGTACTTAAATCGTAGTTATGCAGGTGTAAATTGGCCATAGATTGTGTGAATTTATGCTTTTTTGGGGTTATTTGTTGCATGTGGTTGGGGCGGGGGGAGTTTGTTTAAACTAGTTTAACACCACTAAAGAATAGTGTAAACTTTTCATTCATCCACATCCCCAACATTCTTCTGACTTTTAAGGTAACCTTTGATATTTCCAAATATAATGTATCCCTCAACCCACTAAAATTAAATAAATTAATATCTGACAGCATATTTCTGTGAAATAACAAAGACCACCTGAATTAATGGTTCTTTGTGTCAGTTCATGGATTGGTCCCCAGAGTGGGAAGAGAGAAGTGGGAAGCAGTATTCTTGGTAAAGCTACATGTATTGTTTTTTCACTACCAAAATAGAGACTACAACAATTGTTATTCTCCATTTAAAAATAAATAAATAAATCTAAAACGCTGCTAACCAGATGCTTTGGGTTACTTAACCAGCTTCCAGTTTTTAAAGCAAGCAACAACTTTCCAACTTGCTAGCTGCAAAGAATTCTGCCTACAGAATGGTGTCCTAACCTTGTCATCTCATAGCCTAACTGCTGTCATCATACTTCCTTTTTTTAATTTGTAAAAATAAAAATGAATATAATTTATTTAAATTCAGTTTTTAAAATAAAATTCAGGGAAGGTTTTAGTGAAGTGTCTGATGTTATTAGTTCCATCACCTGACAGACCATAAATGTCTGTGTGTTCATCAGGACATCCAAATGCCTTCAGAGAATTCCTGTTTTTAAAAACGAAAACAAAAACATGAATTCTACCCAGTTCTCCTAATTCTCATCCACAAAACAGGTAAAATACATGGAGAGCAGTATGTTTGTCCTTTTTTCATTAAAGACAGTTGAGGAAAACTTCTTGCTGTATTGGGAACATAGTAGTGGAAGCCCTCATGTAAGCACTATTCCAGCAGTTTCTATTATTTTTGCTACTGTTGATAATCTGATATGGCAGTTAATTCAGAAGCCATCAGCAATTTATCTACAGTTGAGCTAACACTGGTGTAGCTGAACTGATTATTCCGTTGCTGAAAACCTCTAACTTTTATATAGCACAGACAAAGCATGAAACAGCCCTGCCAAATTTCTTTTTTAAGATGAGGTAATGCAGCTTTCATGCTAATGGAGGTCACCCTTAGGTATGTCTTGTCAAAAAAGGTTATCTGTTCTTCAGAGGCTGTAATATTCCAGGTGTTTCCTACGGCATCTACAACTGCATCTACTTCCAGGTAGTATCCTAAATACTGACTAACCTATGACTTTCAAATGTGGAATTACTGATGACTCTGAGCTTTCTAGAGATCTAAATGGATGAAGCAGGACAAAGGGTCAGTCTTCTTCAAATGCTTGTAGCTTCTGGATATTAGAGCACCACTATTACAATGTAATTGTATATGTAGTTTATAATTAGTATTAAATACCCTTAAATAAAATTTAAGCTAGGGGTGCAGTGATTAAAGATTTTTCTTTACTAATACAGATAGCCAATTTATTAACCAACCATATCTGATAACTGATTTATAGGAATTCAGCTGGGCAGCATGGAGAGCAGTGCCCTTGCAGTTAAGCCTGGGTGGGGGTGGGGAGCAGATCGTGGCCCGCACGATGAGGGAGGGAGTGGGGCTGGGACGGGCAGCAACTGCCTAGCCAATGCAGTGAATGCAATCCTGGGGCTGGGAGTTCAGTGGAGCCACAGGTGGCTTGTCCAGGGGGACATGGATGGATGGATGGGGAGAGAGGGCTGGACAGCTTCCCACTGCTGGACACACCACCGGGGAAGACATGCGCCTTCCCCAGATTTGTGCGCAAGGCGAGGGCAGGCTGCCAACTGGGCTTAGAGCCAGGGACTGCGCCAGCTTCTTCTCAGTGTGGGAGCTGCACCAGGGCAGGGTGGGCTCAGCTGTGTGGGTTTGGGTAGCAACGGTGCTGGGAGGGGTGGCTACAGGGGGGCTATGGGGAATTTTGGGGTGGCCATAGCCCCCCAAGCTTCCCCTAGTGTCACCCCTGCTCTGGGTATTTTGCTCTCCTGCCTTCCCCTTGGGAGTGCCCTGAGCAGGGGTGATGTTAAGGGGAGGCTTGGACTATAGCCACCCCAAAATTCCCTGTAGCCACCTCTCCCAGCCCAGGCCCCCCACTGGGAAGAGGCCCAAGCAGCCCCTCACCCCGAGCATGCTGTAGGCAGCCCACCCTCCTCCTGTGTGCAAATTGTGGGAGGCACGTGTCTCCCCCTGGGGTGCACACAGCAGCAGGGAGATGCCCACCCCCTGCCACCCTTGGACAAGCCGCCTGTGGCTCCGTTCCCCCCCCCCCCCCCCCCCCCC